GTCACTCAGATCCTTACACTTGCCCATTTTTCCTGCTTCCAACACATCAACTTTGAGGACTGAATGTTCACTTGCTCCCTAATATACCCCACACACTGACAGGGGCCACTGTAACAGATAGTCAGTGTTATTCACTTCACCTGCCAGTGGTCAGAATGTTATGCCTGATTGGTGTATGTCAGCTAATCAATAGTGTGACTAACTGATGTGTAGCTTTTGAATATAAAAACAGTATTCTAAGGTGCATAGGAATGACTATATCAGGCCAATTGTTGGTAGTATTTATTTGTTAGTTTTGGTCACTTCACTGGATTTGACGACAACATGAAATATTTAAGAATAACATCACCTGCCCTATCTATTTAAATCACTGTGTTATGTCACCAGTGGCCTCAGGAAAATCGCTGGTGGAAAAACACTTTAATCAATGAATTCATTGTCTAAATAGCTATAATAGAACTTATAGTATAAACGCCATGGATCAAGATAATTGATCTAAATGGATACAAACAAAACTCTGTAACGCAAGTAACGTACCACCAAGCACAATTCTACCTTCAAAATAAAACCATAATAGAAGAACAACAAACATCTCTGCCTGGATAATATTGAGAGAATTAACTTACTGTCTAAGAACTAATCGTCTTGCAATGGTCCTCTGTGTAAAGCAGTAAAAACGAGCCAGCTCCACATTTTCCGGATTTTGAGATAAGACGCAATGTGCGGCCTGTGGAGAGATAAAACCGGGGAAGGTAAATCTGAAGGCACTTGATTAACAAGGTAGCTAACGTGTTAGCTATCGGCCCATCGCCGACGGAATCGCAACAGCGATTAGCTTTAAACTTCTAATTGATTTCCTACCTGATAAATATAGTTCAGTCTTTGGTACGCTTCTTTATCTTTCAGGTGAAGAGCCATTACACACAACGACCAGGAGGAAAAAAAACAGCCGTGTTACGTCCCGTTATTACAACAACTCCGAGATGCAGCCGCAACTGACCTCCGCCAACAGCTTTTACACTTCCGGGCCATTCTTACAGAATAAATGCTCCCCCCAAAACACTTCCGGGCCAATCTTACAGAATAAAAACTCCCCCCAAACATTTCTGGGCCAATCTTACAGAATAAATGCTCCCCCCAAAACACTTACGAAAAAACAAACAAAAAGATTGTGAATTATCCTTAAATAAAACCAAAGTCATCATTGGCAGTGGTGGAAGAAATACTCAGATTGTCTACTTAAGTCAAAGTAGCAATACCACAGTGTAAAAATACACAGTTCAAAATGCTACTAGAAAAGTACAAAAGTATTAGCATCAACATATACCTAAAGTGCCAAATGTTAAAGCACTCATGTAGAATGGCACAGTTCACATGAAGGTATACAATATTACTGGGTTATATAATTATTGCTGTATTATTCTGTACATCACATTTAATGTTGCAGCTGGTGGTGCTAACATTATGTACTTAGAATTTGATAGGTTGTGAATTTTACAGCAAGGACCAATAAAATCCTTTTATATTGTATTTTATTTTATTGATCAGATTCTGAAAAGTAACTGGTAACTAAAGTGATCAAATAAAATTAATGAGTACAAAGTACAACATTTTTCTCTGAAATATTAGAAAATGAAAATACTCAAGTACAGATACTTAAAAACTATACTTCAGGACAGTACCTGAGTAAATGTCCTTAATTACTTTCCACCTCTGATCATTGGATCATATACTCTGTTGCATTGCTTATACTAGTCTAGTCTACAGTGCCTATAAAAATTGTTCACCCTCTTGGATGTTTTACTCTTTTATTGATTTTATAAATCAATCAATCATGGTCAATATAATTTGGCTTTTTTGACAAAAATTTTTTTACAAAAAAACCTCTTTAATGTCAAAGTGAAAACAGATTTGTATAAAGTAATGTAAATTAAACAAAAATATGCAAGGTAAAATTAGTCACTGCATAAATATTCACTGTCTTTAAAATGACTGACCTAATTGAACAGAGGCCCAGCCAATGGGTGCTAGTAGTCTCACAATTAGTGAAATGGGGATCACAGTGAATGTGTCTCAAGTGACTGTACTATAAAGACACCTGTGTCTGGAAGGTCCAGTCACTGGTTAATCAGTATTCCTGGCTACTATTACACCATGAAGACAAAAGGACACTCCAAGCAACTCAGAGAAAAGGTTGCTGAAAAGTATAAGTCAGGGGATGGATATAATAACATTTCCAAGGCACTGAACGTCCCCTGGAGTTCAGTTAAATCCATCATCAAGAAATGGAAGGAACATGGCACATGTCTAAATTAGATTAGATTAGGTTCAACTTTATTGTCATTACACATGTACAAGTATAAGGAAATGAAATACAGTTTACCATCTAACCAGGAATAACAGTGGAATAACAGCAGTGCAGAGAGCTCAGTATCTACAGTATGTACGGTCAGTACTAATTTACCGATAGATATGTACAATTGATATTTACAATAAGATATGCATGTTAATGTACATTATACAACAGACTTTATGGATTTAAATTACAAGTAATGGATAATGTACAGTATGGGTATAAAACACTAGTGCGATGGGATGAAATGGAATGAAATAGTGCAGAATGATGAACAAGATAAGTTACATGAGTTAACATTTCAATGGGTGTAAATAATGCAAAGATAAATCAAATCAAATCAAATTTTATTTGTATAGCACCAAATCACAACAAAAGTCATCTCAGGACACTTTACAAAGTAAGGTCTAGAGTCTAGACCTTACTGTTATCAATATTATTACATAGGGAAAACCCAACAAAGCCCCCTTGAGCAAGCACTTGGCGACAGTGGGGAGGAAAAACTATAAATATACAGTATCTGCATATGTACAGTAGTGTGTGCAAATTAATAACAGAGCAGTATTCGCAAATTAACAGATCACTTCAGTATTACCAGTAACAGAAGTAAATCTTCCTAGATCAGGCAGTTCTCACAAACTGAGTGACCAACTGAGTGCAAGAAGGAGACTCCAGTTAATCCAAAATGCTGCAGCCAGAGTACTGACAGGAACTAGCAAGAGAGATCATATCTCTCCCATATTAGCTTCTCTCCACTGGCTCCCTGTAAATTTCAGAATAGAATTTAAAATCCTTCTCCTAACATACAAAGCCCTTAATGACAAGGCTCCATCATATCTTAAAGACCTCGTAGAGCCTTATCATCCTAACAGAGCACTTCGCTCTCAGAGTGCAGGTTTACTTGTGGTTCCTAGAGTCCACAGAAGTAGAATGGGAGGCAGAGCCTTTAGCTATCAAACTCCTCTCCTATGGAACCAACTCCCAGTCTCAGTTCAGGAGGCGGACACCCTCTCTACCTTTAAGATTAGACTTAAGACGTTCCTTTTTGATAAAGCTTATAGTTAGGGTGGATCAGGTGACCCTGAGCCTTCCCTTAGTTATGCTGCTATAGGCCTAGGCTGCTGGGGGGGGGCCCCATGATGCTCTGAGTTTCTCTCCACTCCTCTGGGTCAAAGCCCAGACATCGTTCCAATAGAGAATTTGTGGCTGGACTTGAAAAGGGCTGTTCACACCCAATCCCCACCCAACCTGGCAGAGGTTGAGCAGTTTTGCAAAGAAGAATGGAGGAAAATTGGAGCGTCCAGATGTGCAAGCCTGTTTGAGACCTATCCACACAGACTCAGTGCTGCTATTAAATACTGACTTGAAGGGGGTGAATATTTATGCACTTATTTCACATTACATATTTTTATTTGACATTACTTTGAAACCTGTTTTAACTTTAACATTAGAGGTTTTTTGTAATTTTTTTTATGTTGACCATGACTGATATATAAAATGAATAAAAGGGTACAACATACAAGGGGGTGAATACTTTATATATGCACTGTATATTGGCTTCCATCTTTGACTTTACAAACGAGGGGATATCACTGCAAACCAATCACTTTCACACTCACTTCACAAAAGCAAAACAGCTGTATTTATTTGAGTGCGCAAAGGTTGTTAATCTTCCATTAAAAAAACAAAACAAAGAATCAATAAATTGTCTTTACCAGCCTTTGACAGCTAACCAGTAATATATGGCCACTTGTTTTTCAAACCAATTAAGTACACAACAGACAAACGGGAAAGCATATTTGTTTAGTTTAGAAGAACACAGAGGACTGAGCTCAACATACAGTATTCATTTTTAATAACAATAGAGAAGAAAGTATAAACCCTGTCAATTTAACACTTTAATTTGCCTGTAAGGTGCACCTCTTGTATCAGGAAACTAATGATGCAGGGGCAGTACTGGTATGGAAGGTCTGTCAGGTGTGGTGATCAAAGAAACAACAAAAATCACAGTTCATGATGACAAATGCGCTGAAATGTTTCCTATAAAACTGGTAAGAGGAAGTGTCCATATAGCACGAGTCAGTGTGGAAATAACACGTATTCATTGAATGAGATCCATTATATAACAAGAAAGGGTACAAATGTGAAATTCAAGTATCAAAATAACTAAGACACTGACAAGCTGAAAAAGTAAATTACAAAGGTAGTAAAAATCATGGGAAAAAAGACTGACACAATCGACAATACATTAGGCAACATTTTGCATTTGTTTAAGGCAGCTGATTAAAATAAGTAGAACCAGGCATCTTCTTCATTCCAAGTTAAATACAAGCCTAGCCATAACTTGTCACCAGGAGGTTTGTTGTACAAAAAAACTAGGCCTGACTTTGAAACTAAGCACTTTTGTCTGACGTGTCTTCTGACATCTGAGTGAGAATAGAGTTCATATGGCCAGCGTTGGGGCTGTGCTCTACATTTTTGGTCTTCTTCACAGTGAGGTTTGTCAGGGCTTATAAGGCTCGTGCAACAAGAGTGGCAAGGCACTCTCAGCCTATTGTCTGGCACGACATCTAAATGGTTGGCACATATCTGTGCACAGCATCATGGGAAGGCAAGGTAACTAGTTTAACCAGCTAACGACTGCCCTTCATGGCCTCCTTGGCTGCCAGGATGAGAGGTGTGAGACTGGAGAGGGGCTTTGCCAGCTTCAGGAACGGATGCTGCACAACAGGACAAAGATCAACAAAGAGGAGGAGAGGGAAAATACAGGTCATTCAATTAAAGTGCAAATTTAATTAACCACTCAAGAGTTAAATAAAAGACAAAGAAAGTTTTAACCTGCAGCAGCTCTTTGCCTCCGCCTCTTTTCTCAACATCCATTTCCAGACAACGGTTGAGGAAATCTCTGAAAACGGGAGACAGTTTCTCAGGGTTCTGAAGCTCAGGCGTGCCATTTGTGGCAATCAGGTATAATGCCTGCAAAAGGAGAAGAGATGAGAGAAAAGGGAACACAAAGATCTGTGAAATCTAATATTGAGAAATAACTTTCTTTGCATCAACAGAATCAAGTCAAACTGGTAAAGAGAGAAAATGTAAAAATTCAGATCCACTTTTAATTCATGTTATGAAAGGTGTTACCATTTTCTGACCCCACATTCACACAGGTCTTACCAGATAACTGCATTCAAAAAGCTGTCAAATATTGATTCAGGGTTTTTTTTCCCAGTTTTCCACAGCAATATAACAATTTCTAATGAATTCATTGAATTAATGCAAAGCAGATGAAAATGAGTGTATAGATTAATAAAAAAAAGTAATGAATTCATTTGTTCATTTAAAACTCTGCTAAAAACGAACACTTGTCCATTATGAGATAATGAGCTTCCCAGCTACTGTAGCTAGCTGCACTCAGTGTTTGCTACAAGTCTGATGATGTTGATTGAAACTCCTCAAAGATGATTACAGAGTTTCCTGGATGAACAATTCACTGTTGCACTAGTCTCACTTTTACTTTATAGGTGTGTAATATCTTCCAACAGCTCAGTCATAAACATCAACATTTTATAGAGATTATTGCTTATGACAGACAAAAGAACATATTTAAGACTTTTACAAATTAAATGTAAGATTAATACCTCACAAAGCAATTTTTGAAGAAACTGAATTCAGAGCTTTTTAAGACTTATCAA